CGCAAGCATCTACCACTTTTCTGTCAAACGTTATTCAAAAAACATCCGAGTCCATTCTTTTTTTTACCGACAATAGTTCTCGATTAAAATTCATATTGTTCGGTATAAGATAATGGTCTATATCTTGTGAAGTTTCTCGACAACGAACGAAAGTTGCATAAGAAGATTAAAAAGTGCTTGATGTAGATATTGTTCACCTTTATGTGTGATAACTCCATTGGTAATTGTTAATATATCGAGAGTTTCTGTTAATTTTCGTTGTATCTCATACATTGATATTTGATCATATTCAGCAATCTGTTATATGTTTCTGTTACGTTTAATGTTTTATTTTGATTAAAGCTGTATTATGCGTCTTTATTACAACTATACAAATAAACGAAAAAGACGTTCCCTTTCATCTGAATATTAATTAAAACGTGTGTCACATTGATATTTAACTATTGTCATTATTTTGATTTGTCAAGTTGAGAAAATTTGAGTAAATTTATCTACGTAACGAAACGTTTATGCTAGTATAAAATTCATTCTTTTCCGAGGATAGTCTACAGTTTAAAAATATTGAAAAGAAATAAGAAAAAAAATTTCGTGTATACGTATAGATACATCAAAAGAAACGGATAATATATCGAAATGTCATCGAAATAAATCCGTTATGTCGCGGCACGCATATACTTTTCTTTTACAGTTTATTCTGCCCTGACACTAATTAGAATTTTGTATAAGAGAAAGTTCTCTATTTTTCCGATTAAAGAATTAAACAAGAAACGAATAAATTTTATACATTCATCAAATGTTCAACTTTTATATATTCAAGGAAGAGAGTACTTAGTATAAATTTATTTCGTATTGTATCAACTTTTCGAACTAAAATTACATTAATTAGAGAATACCCATTGTCATTTTTAGCACACGAGTTGCACACGATACTGATCTATTCTTTAGAAAAGAATCCCTTTTAGTGTTTGAAATATGTGGGTGTGAATATCGATGATGAGCGTTTAAAAAAGCAAGCTTTTGCAGTGATAAGACAAATGGAAATAATGTTTCGAAATATAATTTAGTAGAAACATAAATATGTGGACATACATAAAGCTTTAACTTCGAAGTTATTCGTGTTTAACAGTGTGTAAAAGCATTATAATAATATGCGCTAACACTTATGTAAATACGTGATGCTCTGTTCTAGTAACACTAAGACTGACTTTTTACTCACAAATATACGTCAGGGTTCCACCCTCCAAAATGTGCCCTCAACCTATGTCAGTTTGAAGAAGACACCTGATTATATATATCCTTCAGTTTTTTCGATGAACTGATAACTATTCACAGAGTTATTAATTAATTAAGTTGAAATTTTATTTGAACTTTTGATTTCGATGGTATTATAAAATAATTCATGATATTTTATTGGAATGTCCGATCACCATTGCGGTAGAGTTATTCTGTAGACAATCTTTGGTTGTATATAATATGCATTAAAAAATTTGAAAAGTTTTCGCATGACATAGATTTTTTAAGTGAAACATTGTCACAAGAGTGTTTTTTCTACTTTTAAGCATAAAAAGTAATTTTTGAAAACCTTGCCAGTGATTGCGCGATAACAAAGAATTTACGAAAAACATTTTCGCTGTGAAGTTGTAGCTGATGTCATTCTGCATGGAATGACAGGAACAGAATTTCAAGAAAAAATTTTGAACAGAAGTTAAATGAAAATTAAACAATTTTTAATTTTAAAATTTTTTAATTAATAATTTTTTAAAGTTTTTGTCATTAGAAAACAAAACTGTTCCGCTTATTCCACGTAGAATTTCATAGGAAACTACTTTTGTTGCAACAGTTTTTATAAGATGTGCTTTGCATAGTCAGAATCTGTGCCAAGATTTTGGGGTGCATATCCTTGCATTGTCACAATCAATAAGTTTTAATTATAACATAGTGGCTAGGCAGTCCAAAGTGCTCTCTACAATTCTGCGCGAGGCCAACCTCTCCATCTGCTTTGGTTCTCGAATGGCAGTCATCTTCGTGAGTCACCCGCAATTCGTTATCATAACGTCCCTTACACTAGTATAAAAAATGGAAATGGGTCTTTTCTAATTAATGTAATTTTAGTTCGCAAAATTAGTACAATACGAAATAAATTTACAGTAAGTACTCGCTTCCTTGAATATATAAAAGATGAACATTTGATGAAAATATAAAATTTGTTTTTTTCTTCTGTTAGTGAAAAACAGACAATTTGTTTTTTTATAGGAAAGTCTAAATAGTATCAGAGTAGATAATAGAAAAGTATATATGTTTTTGACAGGTTGATAAAGGAATAATCTTTTGAAACATAGTGGTTAATTGTCTTTGAAGAAGTAATCAGATCAATTAGAAAAGAAAATAAGGTTCTGTACATTTATATGCAATTTATTATAAAATGAAATGTTGTGTAATAGATAATGTAATAAATAATACAGGAATAGCGGGGGGACAGTGCCTGACTGATCGGAATACATTTTGAAGCGCACTTTTATCCTTACAACAATCCTTTCATAAAACATGTATTAGAGTATATAAGGAGGTCTAATCATCGGATAATCATATGCGGCCGCAAAAGTTTCACTATGATTCGTACTTATACATAAGTATTCACTGAAAATATCATATAATAGTATGTCTGACAAAGATTTAATCTTGTTGTATCAATGTATTCCATTGGTGCATCATTTAATATGCTTGTAAGATAACTGAATCCTAATCTGCTTCCTGCCGATTCCTGAATCTCATAACCCGTTGCATTTGGTACATGACTCCATGTCAATGTGATACCACCATTCTCATCGTTCCTTTGTACCGAGAAGAAGATCGGTACTGGTAAACGAGGTGCAGCTTGAATTTCTTTGCATACATGTTTACTTACACCTGATTTTTTGGTGGCGGTTATAAACAATATGTACGTTTTCTTTTCCAAACTTTTTAACCTTTTATCCCCTGGTACTAATCCAGTAGATATGGTGTTGAATTGACCACAAAATAGCTTATGTGGGTGCTGAATATGACAATGGTATGGTTAAATCTGAGCGAAGTTCTGCGGCTGCGGAGGAGCAGAATGGGTCATTTACGACACATTCGGGTTGAGTGAAATGGAAATTTAATGTTTTGCTTATTTGGTTTCTGTTGCGGGTTTTTTTGTAATTGTGTGTTCACTTGTTCTGTATAAAGCTAGAAATTGTTCCTATCATAAATTGTTTTGAAAAACGAAGAAAAATGATTCATGGCAGGCTTAATTTTATTACAAACACCCGAGGTCTTTACTGTCAAAAATATCAAAAATTGTATTTTGAGGATGGGTTTAAGATAACTTAAATTTATATTCAGAATTCTTGATAAGCATCGAATTTGACAAATGCCCATCAGGTAGAGATTATACTATTGATGTTGCTTAAAAATCCGTAAACAACTTCAGTTAAAAATTGAAAATGGTGCATGCCTACGGTCTAGAAATCTCGCAAATGAATGAAAAAATAGGTTTTTGAAACTTTAAGCTCTTCTAATATAAACTGTTCGTGTTCTAAAGCCTAGGTCTAACGAAATGAACGATAATGTAGCTTATATCAATAAATAAAATACCTGCAGAAAAAAAACAATTTTCATGTCATTCATCCTGAATGGGACAAAGATGGACCATGTTGTCCTGAAGGATGCACTCAGATCTCTAATCAAGAAATCTGTAAACGCTCTCCTGCAAATGGATGATTCCTATAGCAGAATATATCAACCGCCCAACTACAAAAGTAATCAATCTATACAAGTGAAAAAAAATCTTAAAAAGAAAATCAGACTTTTTCACTGTTTTGAAAATTCACCGTTTTCAGACTCAAATATGCCAGACAAGAAGTGATGAAAAATAAAGTTACTTTTTACGAATCTATAGCTTATTGAATTCTCCACACAATGTTCATAAAGCTTCTTGATCCAATACTTTGTTACTTCACTACATCATTTCTACGAATGAGTCGAAAATGATCCAAGCGAGGGTAAAGGGTTAATTTAATATTAGCCGTCGTTCCGGGATTACTAATTTTTATATAAGGTGAAGGATCATCATTCACTCTGTAATAGAGATTCTACTAATTAATATCGTACTATTTAAACCATGATATCGTTAGTTCACTATTATCGGCGTGTACATACAACGGTCTCGATGTCTGATACAATCCAAGAAGCGGTTTCGTGGCGTATGAATGAAAAATAGTAGAAACTGACTTCTATGCTCACGGATTTTTCTCGTATCTTTTCTTCTATGCATATCAATTTCTAAATTTTTTCCTCACGGTTATTTTGTGTTTACGACTTTTATGCCAAAAGTTTTATTTCATGATTTTCGTTTCTATGAGTATTCTCCACGGATTTGAGATTCATGTGTTTTGCCTTATGGTTTTTTCTCAATTTGAAACTGAAGTCTTTTCTCATCAGTTTTCTACTTCACAATTTTTTTGAACGTGTTTTTGCGACGGCTTTCGGTTTCACGACTTATTACACAGTTCTTTTTTCGCCGTGAACACTTTGATCTATTAGACTATCTGTATAAAAAAAGTTTTGAAGGAGGAAATAAAAGTAATATTAACACAGCTAAAGAAGAATATGCAATATTGCGTCCTTTTGTTTATACAAACTTTCGTAACTAAGAGGCTTGAAAAAATTTGTCATTAGTTTGTTTGATGACTCAAAACAAAGTCGTGCTTTTTGTGTTCAGTCTACCACCGCACGGTTCTATCACAAATGCATTATGTTTTATCACCTATAAATACTTCTTAAATATCTATACAACGTCGAAGTTAAGATCATTTCTAACGAAGTTTCTCGTTCCACGATGGTTTCTATGGAATACTCCTCTGATTCTTAAATCTTGTGCATTAATTTTTTTTTTTTGATGCAGTACAAGAAAAGAATTTGCACTACATGGGTAATAAATCGGTGAACATCACATTGTTAATAGTTCGATAAATTGAGAACTAGCTCTTAAGATACTCTATCATGTTCTTATCAGTGCCAACAACTAGTTCTTTTTCGTTCAGTATAGCTATTGTGCATGAATTATTCTGAAGTTTAACAAATTGTTTTTCACCAGAAACTTTAACTACCCAGAGTTTTTTCATCCCTGTTGAAACAAAAAAACGTCCGTTAACATCACTTCGAATTTCAGTGTTAGCAGCGTATTCGCCCAGTGGAATTGAACGTATTTTCTTCATATTTAAATCGCAAAACGTAACATAAAATACTTCTCGACTATTTTTACTTTTGCGAACACACAGAGACGCAAATACTTGATTGTGGACACAGAAGCTTTCGCAGTTATCGACAAATCTTCCTATACGACGATTATTAAAGTCGATTGTTTTCATATGTTGAAATGAATATGAATAAAGATTAATACCGTTAAAGTTTCCAATATTGGTATTCATCCAAATCCAGATGTGGTCATGATTACATGATATCCTCACAAATGCCCAATTACCATTCACTACCTGTTCAATTTTAAATTTATTTGTATATGTCACGCTATATATACCATTGAGTGCTGCACACAGGTACTGCTTGATTTTTTCACACCATATGACATCGGATACAGGTGGATGAGGCCACGTATGCTTGCATTCAACTAGATCCTGATTTAGGAAATGATAAACTAGAACATCTGGTTTCCCTTTTGAAGTAAATAAAATATTTTCACCATCGCTAGCAATTCGATCTACTGTAACACAAGTTTTTATACTTGTATGTGTTTTAAAATTAACGTTGTTACAGGTTTGAGAAGTAAACGAAGAATGCGAAGATGATTCATCCTCGTCATCATCACTATCGTTTCTGTTAACATGTGCTGCACCTTCTGTACGAATGTTTGAGGTAGCATCTATTGATGGGTTACAATTTTCAGTTTGACTGAAAGGGAGTCGACTATCTAATTTATTTCTAATAACTTTATTTTCGATCTTTTTAGCGAAAGTATCATTGTTAGTTTTGTTCCGGAAAGATATTTCAAATTTTGGTACAACACGGGGCATATCAGTCTCTGTGCAAACATTGAGCATACGAAGATTTTCACCAATACCATTTAATTTTGTTGATAAATCATCAACACGGGAAGTTTGAAATGTCCCTGATCTTTTCAGTTTTTCAATATCGGTCCCAATGCGTAGCAATTGATCATTAACATCAACAATATAATTCTAAAGAAAGAGAAACTCAGATAAAACCAAGCGGAAAAAAGCGCGCTCCAGCACTCTGTACAATGGTCCGGAGTGGCGAAGTGTGTTGTTTTCTTTTAGAATAAAATAGTGATATTTCTCAATATTCTTCTCAATATTCTCAATATTCTTCTCAAAAAAACAGAACAAGCATGTCCCCGGAACAGAATAACAATGTCCCAAAAACAGGACAGTCATGTTCTTTTGTTGGGATGGGGGAATATATCCCTGATAACGGGGCCATTGTGTTCTGTTCTATGAATTCTTTTCCCACAGAGGGAAACGTTTTGTTCTGCTTGTGGAAACAGAGATTTCGGGGACAGTAGTTTCCTTAAGGGCACGGCACTCCAAACTACTCCAGGCCGCTCCGGGCACTCCGAGCACTTCGGCAGTCCACAGAGTGCGCTTCTCCCCTCCTTGGATAGAACACGATCGGTCAGACTTTAGAACAACTTAAATGTTCTTCAAAATTGTGCCGAAAGAATATACAATATGATCGTATCATCTGATCTTAAATACTGTTAGAATGTTTTACATACACACCGAGATCTCGAACTTGTGTTAGAAAATAACCTTCTCGTCATTTCTTAGCAAAAGGTCTTGTAGATCTTGCAAAATCTTTTGTGTTTTTATTAGGGCTTTTTTCAAAACCGTTCTACCTGAGAGAAGATATTTGTAAATAATGTTGTAGTACGAAAAAAGCACTATGACAACCGATACCTGGGCTTTGGTTTCCTCCATTTTAATACCAGAAAGAATTTTTTGTTGCTGTTCAAGTAAATCATTAACATAGCTTTCGAACCACAAAGAAATTTCCTTAACTGATTCTGACGTTGCATTTGAAATCATTTTTTGTTTTGCTTTAATAGTCAATTTCATTTCATTACATTGGTTGTCTAAATGGTTAACACTATGCATCAATTCATCATTATGCGCATTTATACAATCACGACACATCCATAACGCATTAACTACTCATTTTCTACGTGTCAATATGCGATTATTAGTTTCCGTTCGAAAAAGAGGTCAAACAAGTAAAAGATATTTATGGTAGCGACACACATAGCAGTTAAGTGATCATCTAAGCGGTGAACCTTCCCAACAATGTTTACATTGACAAAATGATTCTCGTGTACGATTATGGTTTTTGATACATAAGCTACACAAATCATCATCTTTTTTAGCCATACTTGCTGCTGCCATCATTAACAGTGTCTGAAATTCAAAAAATTTTGCTTTTATTTTAGAAAGTTTTTTTTCACTCACGTTTATGTATGGAATTCGTATAGGTTTCTTTTTTGTCGGTTTGAAGTATGTATACACATACAAAAGACGAATTGTAGTAGATAGAAAAAAAGCAACACCTGATACTTTCTTTTTTTTGCTTTAAATTAAGAAAGAAAGAAAAAAGAACTTCACTTAACGGATTATGCATAAGTTTTGTAACAAATGACGAGCGCTATTTCTCTATGCTCGTGCTATTCTGGAGACTTCATTTTCTTTTTGTTTGGAAGAGCAAAGTCTGAACTACAAAACGTGTTTCAAATAAAATTTTCTCTTACTAAAGTTCATTGAAACAATTCAAAATTTATACATCACTAAAAATATTCTAGAATCATTTTGTAAGGTGAAGAATTTCAATATAGATAATAAGAGATACACCACCTTTTTCATCATGAAAATCGACTATTTTCTGTTTGAGACGTTTCGTCTTTATTCAAAAGACATCCTCAGTCAAATGNTCAATTATTATAACCAACTTTCGTCTGTCACATTTGACTGAGGATGTCTTTTGAATAAAGACGAAACGTCTCAAACAGAAAATAGTCGATTTTCATGATGAAAAAGGTGGTGTATCTCTTATTATCTATATTAAAAATATTCTAGTTAAATTCTACTAAAACATATCGAAAAAACGCTTTACATTGGTGTCAAAAAATAATCGCTTTTTACTGAAACAAAACTAAGCGACAAGACAGCCCGTGAAAAATTCTACGGATCTAATCTCCTTTAAAATTTTCAAGTTACTTTTTTGTGGTTTTCTGAAATGTTTTCTAAAAGTCAGATTTTCTGAAAATCGAGATTTTGCGTCTAACAATTAGGACTTTCAGCAAAAATATGACATAAAATACGAAATGAATGAGATTAGATTTTGTTTTACCTCAGATTGTAGAAAATTGAATGGAGATCAGATTTTAGTTTAAAATTTGGAAAATAGTTCATCTGTTAATTCAAGAATTGACAATTAACGCTAATTAATTGATTTTCTCACAGTGCCTAGATAAACGATTATTTCTTCACCGAAACTAAATAAAAAGGAAATGTCTTGTACACCATTCAAAGGAGCGTTTCTACTACTCTC